GTTTTTTATTATGCATTTTTATTTGATTATTTTTTTTTTAATAAAATCACCGTAGAGGTTTCCCCTGGCTTTAGCGGAAAATAAACACCTTTAGTTGGAATAACGTTGAATAAATTAATTTCAGAGAGACGAACTCTCGGATTTGGGTGCCTGTCTGACTGGCGGGCGAAAAGGCTCGAGGGCAGCCGTCAGAAAGCCTCTTTTATAACGATAGCGCGACTATGCACCGGCGTGCGCCGTCGCCTTTCGTGTGCCTCTCGCGCTGTAATAATATCAAAACGGATGATGAAGGATTTAATGATACATAGGCGGGACGTATCATCGCCCAATCTGCGCTTCGAGCAGGGCAAAAATAAATGCTGCCGACGAGACGGTTGAAAACTTTTATGCATGGTGCACATCACTTACTAATACGGCTCGTTTCGGAGCCGTCTGATTTTAGGGCCGATCGATCAGGGGCGCAATTTAATGACTCAATATGTGCCGCCGCTTTGAGAGCAGTAATTTTAATATCAAGTGAGAATGGGCGCTGTTGGCAAAGCCGGGGCTTACTTTGAGGTATTAAATCTGCCAAAGGCGACTTTTTTCAGGTGGTCTTTTGTGCGTCCCTCCCTTTGGAAGATGAATTATATTATATTTAAAAAAATATGCAAGCTGCGCTTTTGTTCTTGCTCTTCCCATAAAAGCACACGCGAATTTCAATAGCTCATTATCTCTTTCAATATTTAAATAACGAAAAAATAATAATAAGTGATGGATTTGTGTGTTATATTTTGTTTCTCTACATATTTCCCTGATCAAAAGGCTCTGCTTTGATCTTTTTGCTTCAGTGAAATCCACCTTCAGGAGAGTGGTTAGATGAAAGGAAGAGAGAATACATTTTCAACAAAAGTGGAGAACCTGATGCTGGTATGTGCACTTTTTTCAAGGGCGGAAACAGATTTAGGAGAGAGATTATGTATTAAGTGTAGAGCGAGTGTTTTAAAATAAAATTTGGACTTTATCGCACGCGCAAGGCGAACAAAGCTTTTACTTTGCACTGGTGTTCTCTTGATAAAATCGTCGATTTTATTTTTGTTCTTGGCCTAAAATGTGTTTTTCAGGCGAATTTTTCTCGCCCTTGCCAGATATTGATTCAGATTTTTTTTTCTTTTTAATACGAGCAACTTTTTCCAGGTACTTTTTCACAAAACAAGGACTTGAGAATTATGTATGGCAATAAACACGCCAGCGTTGTTCTTAATAGGTAGGTGCTGAAATTGCCTGATCGCGCAATAAATCTGAAATTCCAGAGCACAGATTATTAAAAGCCCAAAGAGCAAACACGATTTCAAATGCACGTGCCGTGATATTTATTCCAACGGCGCGGCACCACAGGCTGAATGAAACGAACTCTCGCTGTATGCAAAACTGTCGCGCTGCATAAAAAGTTCCATAATTTTACTTTGTAGGTTTACACGCTGCGTTCAAGCGCACTGGAGAAAAATGAAACGTCACCTCTCCCATGCACTCGACGGTAAAATGACAATACGAAGAAATATGTGGCAACACCGGTGTTGAATGGTCACTCATGGCGGTCGTTTTGCAATTTGCAAGTTTCACAATACGCACAACTTGTGACTGTGAGACAAATTTTTCATTCAGCGATAAACACAATCAATTTTATTACTGTCATCACACTGTCATGTGCTTCAATATATTTTGATTTGTTAAATTTTACAATTCAAAAGAGAAGAAAAAATAAAAATAAAATACAAAAATATTACTGAAAGTAAAATTTTTACTAAATATATTATTCAATAATTAAAAAATCAAAATTATTAGTTATCTCAAACATATTAATGTTTTAAATATATTATTAACATTATAAAAGAGTATTTTTTTAAAGTAGGAATCATCAATCATTAAACTGTACGTTGGAATTATTTTAAATATCTCACTTCGACTGAAGAACGTCATTAAAGCTCAAATTATCAAAAAAATTGTAATTCTGCGGCAGAAAGTGCTGGCGGTGAAATTTAAATTTACTTGCAGCCAACTCCTGACACACACATGGGCTGATAATCGTGTTGGATCGCATTATAATACGTTGCGTGTGTTAAGTAGATACCGCCAACCAACTTTTCTGTTCAAATAACCTGTACAACGCACACACGAAGATCAACCCACTTTGCCTGTGCGCGGTTAATTGCCGAGGCGCGCGCAAAAGAGAGGAAACTAATCGCGCAAATGCTCCTGTCGCGCTTGTTCTTCTTCCGGATGGATGGAAACACACGCTGTGTGTGTTTTCATTAAGCTTCACATAGTCTCTACTATATTTAAACGCCTTATCGGGGCAAATGGGAAGTGATGAGACATAACATGCTCCCTTCTCTAATAGAGAGAAAATAAAACAAAGGAGATTACACGCGAAGAGCTTCTCTCTTTTTCTCTTCCTCGTTCGCTCATAAAGTTATTTTGGAAACACTTAAAAGGGTCTCTCGATGGGACGTGTGTATGTGTGTGGATTGCGAGCAAGCCGGCATAATAACACTTGAGGAGCTGCTGCTGTGTTCGCTGGATTTATTGAAGAGCTAGTTTTGTTTCACCAGCACAGCAGATGGATCGCATCAGGTGTGTGTGTCTCCCAGCAGTGAAATAAAATCTCGGCACTGCGTGTTGTGATTCTGTCCGAAGTAATTTTCTCCTCACTAATAGCAGTGAAAAAAAAATGTACGTGTTATTTCAGACAAGAAGGGGAACTTAATTGATTTGCGTGACGGGTGTTTTGGTAATTGACTTGTATGCAAATTAGAACGTGAGGCGCAAAACTTCTCTTGTTTGGGAAGGAGAGGTGCTAAAATCGCTCAAGTTTCGGCAGCTCGGTCGCAACACTTCCGACACTCCTCATTTATTTTTATAAAAACCCTCTTGAAAATAATAATATGATTTTTTTTTTAAATATTTACTCTTTTTATTATTCATTAATAGACTTGTGTTAAGCACCGAAGGAAATTATTTTTTTAGATGTGTATTTACATCTGTTAAAGACAATAAAAGATTTTTGCTTGTAATTAACATATTTCTTATTAAAAAGAGTCATGCTCATTTTTAATTGTAAATAAAAAAAAGGAAGATCGAAACTGGTTGATGAATCAACATTTGCGAAATCTCTGAACACAGATATTCTGTTTAGTCGGTGCAAAAGCAAAGTAAACAATTTTTTTGATCATTACCACGAACACATTACAATAAAAATTAATTAGTCAAAATGCAAAAGTGCTTGTTACGCAATTTTATTTTAAAAGTCAAATGCGCAATCACAATCCGAAAGATGCATTCTTATTCTTATACTTATCCACGGCGTTGGAAAATGAGAAAATTCAACCAATTCACAGACAAAAATTCATGGAACTGCTTAATATGTTAATATTATGCAAATAAACAGACTTCGGTGTACTCCTAAAAGTCTCATAAAATCAGCTGGATTTCATGTCCTCTTTTATTCGCAGCATCAAATTTTTATGTAGAAGTAAAAACAAAAAAAAATATAGGAGCAGCGAAAGTAATCTCGGTAACAGAACGTTCAGGTTTTTGCGAAATCGGTTCGTCAGCGCTGGTGGCGATGCAAAAGGAATTTTAGATGAGTCATTTTGATTGCTGCCGCTCTCCTGACTCAATGTATGCACATCACCCTGCGCAAATTTTGCACCCTCGTCTTATTCTGCTCTCGCGATATCTGCACAAAGCACACTCGCTGGGGAGTTGATTTAATAGCATGCATAGAAAACACAAATTGCGAAAATTAAATTTCTCCCACAAGGGTAGATGGTGGTGCGCGAGTGGGGAGGCGATCAAGCCCCGTTCGACAAAGGGTTGAAAGTGACTCACTTTCCCCTCGCACTCTCTGCGCTTTTATAAATTCACATTCAAATATGGAACGACCCACACCATCCTTTATCCATTTCTATTGCTTTTTTGTCTCCCATGGATTTTTGATTGTAGTCGCGCCAGACGCGGCTTGTAATTGTTGCATTGTAAAACGTGTAAATAAAATAAAGGGGTCCGGGGTCAATAGTTGAAAATGTATGTGGTGTTATAAATTTAAAAGAAACTTACCATTTTGTTGATTCCATGTAATCATCAGACAAGAAGTCAGTCCACAAAAATTTACACTTATACACGAAAATTTGTTGTGGGCTCTAACAATAAGTGATTTTTCCCCGTCATTGGTTCAATTTTCTTAGACAGTGATAAGTTCTTGATTGATTTAATTTCATCTACACTTTACATTTGACATCAATGAAAGGATTAATTTAACTAATCTTTGTAGATCTTTAATTCAATCAAATTTAACAAATAAATTTACATATATAAATAAAATGATTTTTCTCTTTACTTAATTAAAATTCAATAAAAAAGAAAAAAATATATATTTAAAAAATCTATTCTACAGGGATTTATTTTATTAATTTGATTAATTTGACAATTTTAAAATAATAAAATTGCTTGAAAAATCATTGAAGTTTAAACATATTCTTTTTTATTTCAATTTAAAATAATTCGAAATTACAATCCAACACCCAGTGCTGTAACGCGCTTTATAATCGAAATCAAAACTCTTGATCCTGTAAGTATGACATGCAACAGCCGCCGCCGCCGGAAATTGGCCAAATATCCCCGCCGAGGAGTCACACTCCGGAACCACCCTCTGGCGGGCCAAACGATCGCAATCTCTATAGAGTCGCTCAATTCCCGATAAAAAAGACGCGAGCCCTCTAAAAAAGCCATCCATCGTTTCCAAATTCGCGCACATAGGATAATCTGAATATAATAAATAGTTCGTCGCACCCCTTGGCCGGCGGTAGTAGTTTTCATCCCCCGGCAGCTGCTCGGCCACGGCAGGGGGAGGGCGCGGCGTGCGCGCAGGATGGATTCTCTCATCCATCCGCAAGGGCCCCCGCTACTGTGTTGTGGGGAATTTCGTTGGTTTGAGTCTCCCAGCTCGGCAGTCTGGCGTGCAGCTTCGAGCGGCGAACACTCACTCGGCCCTCGCACTCGGCGTCGATTATCTCACGCTTCTTTTCTGCCACTGGATACCGACGGAAGCCGGTTCTGCCTTTGCCGCAGCCGCAGCCTCTTTGGATTTTTCGCTTTGATTTCTTCTCCCAGCCAAAGAAAGGTAAGTGATTGAGAAAAAAATTGTGTAACCCTTTGGCTTTGACGCTGCCAAAGGGCAATGCGTGTGGCGTCTTTCCGCGAAGTGATTATAGCGACCACAGTGAATTTATTCTATTATATCAGAGTTTAGGATGATTTAGAAAGGTGTTTCATGACTCCAATTAGTGAGACGTAATAACGAGACACTGATAATTATTTTCATCACGGAAATTGTTGACGATTTCAAAGTAATTGAAATTTTTAGAGGATATTCAGGCATAAACTGTCATCAAAATGATTAGAGACAAAAATCAGGAGTTAATGATACAAAATAATCATACATTTGCGAACATCATAAAAACTAATTATATTTTTAATTATTTTTAATCAGAACCATTTAATAATGAAAAGTCTGATAATATTTTTACAAATTTTTTACTCTATATGTTTTATAAAAATATACATCATTGCACTTTTTATTTATATATTTATTAGGTAGTTGCTGACTAGCTCCTGTTTCCGCACATAGAACAGGACATTGCTGCTCCTTTTACTTTGTCCCTAAAACGTCCTGTGTGTGTTTGCTCGACCTTCCGCCGTGTTTTGCTTTCCTCGCCCAGCGTCTCTCTTTCTCTTTTTGTTTTCATTTTGCATCAGCAGCGCACTCGGGATCTACTGGCTGCTGTGGTGGAGGTTGAAAGACCCCATGCGAGGTTATTCCAAATGTTTGTGCGCGAACGACTCTTTAATGAGTTGATTTAATCAACGCACTCGCACGTATACGCACGCCGGGTGTGTGCGCTTGCGAAACCGAGGAATAAATTATTGGCTTCTCTTTACGTGCATGTTTAACTGCCAGGGATGCACTGTGGTGTGTGTTTGTCCAAAGCGCGCTCTGTTTGTTTTGCGAAAAGGAAAGAGAGGATGTGATGAAGTTCAGAGCGCCTATCGGCAAATCTATCCAGTCGATTTCACTTAATTCCCTGTTATAAGTATTAAATGGTTTTAGTAAATATTTATTTAATGATGTACGCTTGTAAATGGATGCCCAATTAAATTAGTTATGTAAACGCAAAGAGCGAAGCTTACGAACTCACAAGGCTTCTTAAAAAGAGACGCAGCAATGCTATACTAAACGTGTTTTGAAATGCATATAAAGTTGCATTCCTCTTAAAAAATTATTTGACGATGTAAAAACTTTTGAAATTAATATATTCACTTTTAAATGAATTTTTTTTGCCAGCACCTACATTTGCTTATTATAGCGTTAGGAATGCACTTTTGTACATAGAAATTTATTAAAATCCTTTTTTTTATCAAGGTAGGTAACCCATAAAACATAAAATGTTGACCCCAGGACTCAAATTCTAAAAACAAGTAGCCTTTTGTAATTTGAATGGCATTACCCTGGAAGTCTATAGAGTGTTTTGGAATATTGATATTTCTTTAGAAGTTAAACAAGTCATTTTTAAGCCCGCATAATATAATAAAATGAATTAAAAATTATTTTCTAAAATAATTAATATTTAATAATTTTTATTTATTATTTATTGATAATATATTAAATTTAAACTAACGTTAAAAATAATTAAATTTATTCTATAGATAAATATTTATCAGATTGTATAAAAAACATTTGTTCTAAACAGTTCTAAGAATAAATTTTATTTAAAATGTCAAATGATGTCAAACATGTACATACATTGATTTGCTTTATTTATTTATTTATTCTCCATTCGATACAGTCGAGTCATGAATACAGCAAAAAAACTATACAGAAAAAGTACAGAAAAAGCTGAAAATACATTGTTCAATTCCATAAGAAGAATATTCATTTTTGCAAGGAATTTTAAATAAAAAATTTTATACTCTCATTCCCTTATAGATCTGCATAAGTATTATTCTTTCTTAACAAAGGAGCCAAATTAAACAAAAGCCAACTTTTGAAAGCTCCCACTCATATTTTGAACAAAAGTGCCAATCAACAGTTTCACACTCCTCTCGTAACGACCCAAATTACATTTTATGGAGCGGTTCAATCAAGCCGTTGTAAAAGCATAAAATATTTTATCACAAACACACACACGCTGGCATAGTCACAGAAGCTGCTGTTAACGCACGTCGCCGAAATCTCTTCAATTAAATTAATTGGCTGCAATTTATGCGGTGCGAGGATAAATTATGGCGCGAGCCTCGATGGGCAAGCCCGATTCAATCTTTGGTGCAGCGTCGAGAGCGAGCGAGAGAGGAAATAAATTATCATATTATGAGCTGCGCCGGCATATATAGTAGAACGCAATATCATAAGTCCGCAGGGGGCATTTTACAAGCCGCCCTACATAGCCGGCCGCTACCATAACACCATTTATTGTATTCTGGTCCATAATGTGCGGCTCCGCGCGCTAGGGACAGCATCGGTGATGGTTGATTATCGTTGTGCGCGCTCGCAGACCGAAAAATTGCGTTACGACCTTTTTGATAATCTGCCGCCGCCGTCGCCGCCACCGCTCACTGTGCAGTGCGTGCTGACTTTTGTCTTTCATTTTTACGACGCCCTTTATTAAAACGCGCGCTCGCTAGTTCGGCGGCAAAAACGGCTCTCGCGCGCTGTTATGGGGCTCTTAAGTTTTGGAGATTTGCTGAATGGCAAAGCAAGTGGCGAAAGAAATTGGATTTTTGTGTGTGAAATTGCCAGCGGTAAACGAGGGAGGATTAGTCGCGCTCGGAAATCGCATTCGAACTAGTGCTGCAATGGCGGTGACAGTATAAAATTCGCAATTGCTACAGAGGTCATTTTGCGCAACTTTGCACTCCAACTTGGTGAAACCGAACATTCAGCGGAATTCTGTTTTTGCCGCCGTTATATGACTACACTGCTTCGAACTTGATATGAGCACTTCGAAGTATTTTTATGACATGCCATTACAATTTTCATTTCACTCTGGAAATTATAATCAAAAAATAAGATTTTTTTATTCAACAAAAAATCGGATTTTTGCAAGAAATTTCTCAGTGCCTCCATAAAAAAGTACCAAAGCAAATGAAAGAATTTTATAAGAATTAAGTGAAAGTTATTTGAAATTTCACAAATTTTTAGGTTTTTTCATTTAATTTTTGCATTCTTGAAGGTTTTGATTAAACTTATTTCAATATTTTACTCACTAATCTATTAATTTCGTATTTCCTGTAACATTTTAATAATAGAAAGCTAGAATTTTAATACAATCGGTTGTTATTATTTTCCATCTCTCATTTATTTTTTTTTTTTGTCACACTGAATAGCCCTTGCAGATTTTCGATCGTTGCGTTATGGAAAGCGAAAAAATAGAGCCAATATTTGCAAAGTCTCGGGCCGCGACGACATCGGGGCGGAGCAAAAATCTAATAACACGCAGTCCCTGTGCGGATCAACTTTTATATATATTGTTCGTTTAGTCAGTGGTGAGGAAGAAGAAGAAGAAGTCGAGGAATTTACATGAACAGGAAGAGGAAATCGCCGGCCGGGAGCTTCTTCTTCTCTCTCTGCGTAGAATATGATTTTCTATTTCGGCATTCATGATGCCAAATTTAAGCGCGGCACGCGAGAAAATGTACCTACCATTTCAAGAGAGAACAATTTAAACCCTCGAGATGAGCGGCATTTCTTGTATAAGAATAAGAGATGCGAACGCACATAAATTTTTGGCGTGTGGGGGATGCGGGGTGAGAGGGAGTGTTGAGCAAAAAATGTGTATAAGCACGAAAGAGAGGGAATTTTAATTTAATTTGCAGCAGCAGTCTTCTCGGAAAAAGCTCTGAGTTGCTTTTCATATTAATACCGCGTCGGCTTCATTTGAAGCACCGGACGTGGCAAATGTGATATTTTTTCCATTTTCAAGATTAGTATGCGCTCGGTATGCGACGCGTAATTGCTTTAAGAAAAGAAGTAATCACGTTTTCCTTTCTCAGGATTAATCTTCATTTGTTTGAGAGTGTGAGGGAGCATCCGTGCATGACAACGAGTGGTATAAAAATGATTTTAGGGCGCATCTGCTCTGTCAGCAAAGCCTACGGTTATTGTGTCCCCGCCCTGAGGGGGTTGTCGTCAATTTGCATAATATGCTAATGTAGTTTGGTGCCGTATTTACCTTAAGATAAGTTGTAAGCCGGCGAATTTGCTGCGTTCTTGGAAAATCAGCAGAGAAAAGAAGTGGAGCAAAGAAAGGGAGAGAAACTAAATAATAAAACAAACAAGCCGCGGGCCATCGGGAAATTTTTTAAAGGAAACGTGCTCTGAAATTTCCACAAATAATGCTTTTTGGCAGACCCTTTTCTTTTTCCTCTGTTAAGCACACGCTAATATTCCTTTTTCCAAAAAGAATGCTGAGGGAGTGGAATTCCACCCTCAAGACTTCTCTTTGCGGCGGAAAATGTCGTAAATTGATCGGAAAATATTTCTGCTTTGAAGTTATGCACTCATTCCGTGCCTGGAGGCAGCGCAATCAAACATTTTATATTCCATGCCGTGCTTTGGAGCGAAACGCATGTTGCGAATAACGCGCCGGACTTTTATTGCCCACTGGATATTTAGGCAGAGAGAGCAATAAACCAGGCCTTAGCCATTATTAAAAGCATCGGTCGTAATAAATAAATTATATGCATATGGATTTGTCTGCTGCCTGCTTTTTATTGCCCAAAAAGAAGAATGAGAAAATGCTCAGTGGCTGCGGAAAAAAAAATAACGAGTTCTTCCGCTCGCGGAATTTCTGCCCTTTCACGGTGTAATGAACTCGTGCATTTAATTGAAATATCGTCGGTGCTAAAATAAATAGAGGCCACGGGGTGTTGCAGCAGCAGCCACTCTGCAAAGAGAAGGGTTGAAAGGCAGGCAGGTGTTTAATTTCAACTCGAGAGTGCATGAAAGGAAGGAAATCAATTGCGCATGATATAAATTCTCCTGCTGTCGTAATTAATGGACAAGTTGCTCGCGAATAAATTCACGTCAATACATACTGAATTATGCATTCCTTACGGAAAAGCCAG